TTCTGAATGGAAGCATTGTAATCGATTATATTCAATTTTGTTGAATCTTTTATGTTTTCCACTAAGCCTGATTGCAGTACTTAGACCGTGTACAGATGCATGTTCGTGTGTGTGTGTGCGTGTGTGTATGTCTATGTTGTGTGTGTATGTCACAAATTTTCCTTTCGCATGCTCGCTCGTGAATCCACGGAATTGAATTTTTGATTTTTCAAAAACAGGTATTCTCGGGTCTAGCTGTCGCCATCAATTAAAATTAAAGTCATTGATCAAATTTGTGAATTTTTGAATTTTTTCAAATATTGTTTTTTCAAGGATAGCTTAAAAAAATGTTCGGAATTAGTTGAATGAGAGTTTAAAAAATTCATTGGGATGTCCTCTTTACCGAGTTCGAAGATGAAAGCGATAGCAATAATCGCTATTTTGATTCCTTAAAATTGGTAAAAAAAATCATATTTTTTGAAAATCACAATTCAGCAAATATCTATGGATATCGCTCTTCAAATGAATTCAGTCGTAGCTCAATATATTTGTTTCAAGGACTATGACTATGACAGACTTAAAACGTGATTGCAATGACTGTTTCGGTTAATTCGATTTTTAGAATAATTTTTGGAAATTTGAATTTGTTATGAATTCCCCTGAGATTTAGTTCCCTGATGATTTCTTTGGATTCGATATTTCGAATGCATTAATTTATCTACAAATGAAGTATTCCAAATAATAATCCATCAAGATTTTCCAATAAATGAGTTATTTTTCGATAAAACAAACAAAAAAGAACGAAACAATAATTTTCATATTTGTAGAAAATACAACTACGTTTAAAGGAGGAACATTCTTGAATAACTCTATAGAAATTAATCCAAATCGTCAAAATTTTGCAAGTCTAAAACCAATAATACTTTTCCAGATGATGTATCGATATTTCCATTGATTTGATTCAAAAGGATAGAAAAATTTAGTTTCAGTTGATTTTTCGAATAAAACATGTCAAAATCCATTTTTTCCAATAACTCTCATGATTTAATAACAATAACAAAATGTCGAAGCTTATTCGCAAAATGTCGGAGCAAGGTAGAACAAGAGTGAACGGACTTTCAGGGGACAGACTAGTTTCTTGTTCAGTCATGTTTTTTAATTGTAAATCTCCTTTAATATTGGAAAGAGTAGTCAAATCACAAATAAAATCCGACGATTCCTCAATCGATATACAATCATCTTCTAGACCTTGAGCCTCAACATCATCTAGTTCATCAAATTCTCTAGTAAAAAATTCTTCACTCTCCAATGGCTTAATGGGTATTTCTAAACAATCAGAAATTTCGACTTCCATACCTATTTTTCTAACTGCCTCGAAAGCGTTTGTTTTAGCCACGTCAATCATGTATAAAATCTTTTGAGTGTCTGGGAGTTCCGGTTCGTGTATTGACTGCGTTTTCGAACTGGCTAATCGAGGATAATTGAATTTATTAGTACTTCCATTTAAATTTCCGGATGAGATATCTTCTTGTAATTATATTTTTTTCAATCTGTGAATTGTGTCAAGAAGGGAACAATTCACAATTGTGGACAGGGTAGTGCTCATCGAACGCAATCTACGGAAAAGACTTTCACCCGCTTGATTCCCGAAGATCCAACTAGGAAACTGATTGGAGGAGCAACGTCCCTCATCTACAAAAATTTGCATTTTTAGGATGTAATTAATTAAATTATGTGCATTAATTTCCATACAAATATAAGTATTTAAAGATATAAAATTATCAGTAATAGTCCAATACTGCAAAAGAATAATTTCAAATTACGTTAAAATTATCGTCATATTACTGATGATTTTTGATGAGACGGGTTTTCGTGTTAATCTCTTTTAACAATCGAAACAATTATGAAATGCAAAATTTTGAAAACCCTCACCCGGCGCGACCTTGGGTCAGAGGTTGCCGGGGCTCGGTTAATAATTTGTTGAACTGTTGGGCTCCAGTTGATTTACACAAACCAACAAAGAACGATCAAATGAAAATAATAGGTTCGATTGGAAGACCCTTGGAGTGATAATCGGCGAGAGGAGAGACAGCAGAAATAGTTTATTACTTACGAATGATGCGACAGCTCGGGAATCGACTCTCTGCGGTAATCTCCAACGGTGTATATTGTACTAATTGATCGAGGTCACTCAAATAATAACGATACAGAACATACAATGAAACAATATTTAATATTCAAATAAATGAAAATATAGCAGAGATTGCTAGATAACGGTAATTGAATAATGGTGCGTAATAGTCAAATATACAGCATGACAACTCGTGGTAACGCGCAAGCGAGAGTGCCCTTCGACTTGTTGCTGCCCGTCGGGCTCTGGTCCGATCGATATTTTAGGCGCACGCGCCGTCTAATTTGCTTCGCTCTGGCACTCGAGTAGGCGCGTAGAAATACGATTTAAATAAATTTCTTACGATAATTTAATGGTTTTAACTGATCGGTTTACTTAAACTATTTTAATTAGGAGATTCCCGAGGTGTCAGATCCGACTCTACGCCGGGGAAATACTATCTTTTCACATTGACTTCTTATTTTAGAACACGTTACATGTTTATTTCACATGCTAAAAAAACCGTTGGATAGCTCGCACTAGAATTGGATATTGATGAACATTCGAAACAAAAACCACCCAGAAGCATTGATTGAAAAAACTAAAAATTACCTAACCATTATTTCTTCCTCAATCTTTAATTTTTTCAATGAATTTCCTTCCAAAATGTTTGTTTCGGGACCAACTTTTTGAGGAAAGCATGACAAGACGATTCTCACCATCGATTTTTTTACCTTAGGTTTTAACGTGGTTCTACAATTTGAGTTTCTAAACAAAAAATCAAATTGCTCTAGCCAAATTATACTATCAAGATATCTTCAATGGAAATTTTTCAGTTCGATTTGTCTATTCTGTACTGTTGGATGCTTGAGAAAATGGAAAAGCTTCTAAAATAAAATAGTTTCTATTGGAAATATTTTCTTCCATAAAAGAATGCAGGAAGCTGCAGATCCCCCAATAGGAGTGATCAAAAACTAAGAGGATTTTTAAAATAAGTTCGACTTGAATTTGCTAGATTTCTCTGTGATTTTCGTACATGCACTGTTCATGATAGGGAAAAAACAATTAAACTGGTCTTATTTTTGCTTAGTGATTTTTTGTATCAAGAAATGTGAATTGTTTGATTCCAACAAACTAGATGATGAAAATATCTGTTATGAAAGATTCCAAAGTCTTCTGGGTTTCCTGGGATTCTTGGAGCTGGCTATCCATTTTAAATCTTTTAGGGGGATTCTTCAGTGTTAAACTTCAGTTTAACCCAAGTTGTATTGCTGTTTCCGGGGCTTCTTCCCTTCCTGTAGCAACTCTTCAGATGCCTCTCGAAATTAGATAGGACCCAACGACTTCCATGTTTTTGAGTAGCTGACACTTTGGACAGTTCTGTCAGAGAATTGCAGAAAATGCACTTGATCTTAGCTCCATACGAGGGTGATTTAGGTAGATCATCGCCAGCATAACATTCGACAACAGAAACTTGAACAGACACATCGTTGACCGAAATTTTTCGTACACTGCCGCCTTCATATATATTTTCCTTCTCAAAAAAAGTATTCACCACACTCTTTATTTTTCTTCCAAGTAACTGACGCTCAGACTCGACATTTTCATCACTGGATGTTATCAACTTCTTTTGGGTGCTCTGTTTCATTTTCTGCGATGCATCTCCAGTGAATTGGATCTCACCTTTGTTTGGTCTCCAAAAATTTTGAGGTTGTGCTGCCACAAACTGAACCACTTTCATCATCTTGGCACGGTCTCCAACATTGAAATGAAATTTCAATGGTTTTCTATGGTAAGGCCCATAGAACTCCTCGAGATTCTTCTGGGGATCCAATATCTCGTAAAGGGCCTCTCTCGTGTGTTTCTCTATATCATCGATCGTGTCTGTCGTTACTTCGCCGAACGCCACTGGATCATCCAGTGAATGAAACGCCAGAATTTTTGTCACGTACACCGGTAAATGAATGCCCGTTTCTCTCCTTAATACTTCCCATAATTGTTCACCTTCAATATACTTCACTTCACACATATTTTTAATCACACCTAGACTCGTAATGCAACGTGCGCTCCGAAACAGTTTTGAAACACTCAGAAACTAACGTGTTCGGGCGTCTTCTGACACTAAACTCCTCGACGGAATGCGGTCCACGGCGAGTTGGGAGATTCTCGAGAAATATCGATCTGTTTTGAGAATCTCCCAATTCGACAGAGTTCTTTTTTTTTATTTTTCAGACCGTCGGGAAGAGAGAACCTCTGTTGATAAATCATATGTGGTAGAACGCGTGTCGAGTGAACAATGAATTTTTCTCCCTTCTCTATAAATTTCAAAATAAAATTTCTCATCTCGTCGAGTTGATGAATGCAAGTGATTTCGAGTGATTTCAACCGATTTCAAGTGATTTCAAATGAAATCGGTGAAATCGCATAATTTCCGTGATTTCATCCGATTTCAACTGATTTCACGTGATTTCATAACTGATTTCAAGTGATTTCAATCACCAGTGACACAGTGATTTCACCCGTGAATAACCCCTCACTACTCTGCCTCGATATTTGGATGAGACAACAGAGTGGCTTCTGCTAGCGCATGCTTGCTGCGCGTGAATGCTTCTTCAAGGGCTGGAGACCAGGCTACTGGTTGCTTTCCCTTGACGTTCGTCCCCTGAGTCGCGGCTTTTAGCGGGGCGAGGATTTCTGCTGCTCCCTTGATGAACTTGCGGTAGAAATTTAGAGTTCCGAGGTATCTGCGTAGCGATTTAATCGTTCTTGGCCTTGTGAACTCCAGGAGCGCGTTGACTCGATCCTTGGGGGGTTTAATTCCTTGAGCGTTGATCACATGTCCGAGGAAAAGTACCTCTGGCTGTCCGAGGACTGATTTGGCGACGTTGATTATCAGCCCGTAGTCCTGGAGTCATTGCAAGAGGATCCTCAGGTGCTCGCGATGTTGCTCCGCGTTTTCCGATGCTACCAAGATGTCGTCTATGTACGGGAACAAAAATGGTAGATCGCGTGTCCCCTCGTCGATCAGACGTTGGAATGTCTGAGCTGCGTTTCTGAGGCCAAATGTTATGTATGGAAATTCGAAGAATCCAAATGGCGTGATTATTGCCATTTTCTGGATGTCTTCGCGTGCCACTGGAATTTGGTTGAAGGCTTTAACCAAATCTATGGTGGAAAAGATTGTTTTACCATGAAGGTTGGCAGTAAAATCTTCTAGATAACGAATAAGATACTTATCTGGTATTGTCCTGTCGTTGAGTGCGCGGTACTCACCGCATGGCCTCCATCCGTTGTTGCCCTTAGGAGCTAGGTGGAGCGCGGATGCCCAGGGACTTTCAGATCTCCTCGCGGTTCCGAGCATCAGCATGCTGGAGAACTCCGCTTGAGCGGTTTTGAGTTTATCCGGCGCTAGGCGGCGAGCTCTGCAGGAGATTGGTGGTCCTGGTGTTGTCCTTATGTGATGAGCGGTGGAGTGCTCCGCTTTTCTGAGCAATCCTCCCGGTTTTGTTATTGCTGGGAACTCTTTGAGGATCGGTGCGTACGGTGAATCCTCGTTGATCTCGAGGAGCTTGACAGACGTCGCGCGGAATCGCGCGGACTGGCCATGGGATTGGAGGCCTGTCGCGCTGTCGATGATTGCTCCGTTTCTCAAGGCCGGTAGCAGACTGAAGTGATGCAGGAAGTCAGCACCGATGATGGGTTTACTGACGTCTGCTTCGATGAATCGCCATGTGAAGTCTCTACTGAGACCGAGATCTGGCGAGATGGACACGTAGCCGTACGTGTCGATGAGGGTGCCATTGGCCGCGAAGAGTTTATAGCCACTGGTCTCCCTTTTGCTTGGTGGCCGCCTGCAAGGCGTGACAGAGACGTCTGAGCCTGTGTCCACTAGGTATTGGGTCCCAGTCGTCCTGTCGGTGATAAATAGGCGGCGGGATTGTAATTGAGAGACGACTTCCGCCATTATTGTCTCTCTCTGGCGTTTCCCTGAAATTTACAACCGGGTAGGCAGTTACGGGCGTTATTACCATGCTTGTAGTGATACCAGCAAGTGTCAAAATTCTTTGATATTTTCCTCGAGCTGGAGCGTCGGCGCAAGTGGCTGCGCTCACTCTGTGAGCCGTCTCGACGTGTTCGTGAACGAGACCGTGGGCCGCGCGTTTGCACGGCGGCAACGGCCGCTGTCAGCTGCTCAATTCGCTTGAAGAGCGCCGTGTTGACTGCGTTGGCTGGCGAGCTGGTGATTGCTGCGACGCTGTTCGGGTTGAATACCTCGTGCACCCTGTCTGCTAGCTTCGCGAGATCATCAATGGAAGCGTTCTCCTGGGTGGCGAGTGTAGCTCGCGTCTGCTCGGGGAGATGAGACAACCAGCGCGTTTTCAGGACCTCGTCGTCAATGCCTGGAACAAGAATTATACATTTTTAGAACTATATTTTTAAATGTCTCAGGTGTTTCGACGGGGTTCGATCCCCACTGCTCTCCCTGTCGAGTAATTGGATGATGTTCGCAGTCCTGGATTTTGTGAAACATCTGATTAGTTCGTTTTTTAATGTTTGGCATGGATTTGTTACAGGTCTGGAGACAATTAAATGTTCGACTTCTGCCGCGTAAGCAGTGTCGATCAGCGGTACCATTTTGTTGTATTTATCTGACTCGGTGACGTATCCCAGGTCAGCGAACTGTGTCTCCAGCTGCGCGAACCATAGCGCGGGTTTGTCGACGTCGAACGGCCTTGCGATGAGCTTGGGCCTCATTGTAGCCGTTACTGTCGTTACGGTGGGAGTTGTTTGGATGTCATCTGCTGTTGTTACCATGTCGATTTTATTTTATTTTATTTCAGAGAGAAATAAAATCGATGAATTTTACTTCACAGCGCGATTAAACTTGAGGAATAAATTTGTGTGAAAAATAAAGGCTGTTGTAGTCTCTATTTGTCATCAACACAACACAACGTCTATGGGGGTTCGGCAATGTGTCGGCGCGAGGTCACAAATATTCACTCGGATATCACTTTTATTCGGTTTGTTTTGGTTCCGCAACAACAATGGGAAACCAAGGTCTTGACGCTCGGACGGTTGGAATGTTTCAGAAATCTCGAGACGCCGTCATTTAAAAACCGAAGCGTGGGTCACACAACGAAATTAATTATTTTCAGAAGCGCGCCACTTAACTAGAATGCACTCGCGGGATTCACTGCAGCACTTGAAAAACAGAGTCGCGCATGTTGTCCGGAAAAACGGATGAGAACGCGTGGACGAGCGAATAAATTTTTCAGATGCACTGCACGTGCGCGAGACGCGAGAGTTTTCACTTTTGTCGTTTAAAACTTCGAATTTCCCTAATTAGATCACGTCGGGGTCACCAATGTAGGAATTGCGGTTGTTGAGGGATGTAACAATTCACTAACAAATGTAATTAGTATTTAAATTACATTTTAATCAAGACGTTTAGAATATATATACAAAAGAGAAAGAATAATCAAAGTGATCTGATCGGAGGTCAGTGTTAGACTCTACTGACTATCTTAAATCGCGTAAGACGGGAATTTGGATACGCATGACAATAGGTGGGAGCGAGAGGTATTTTATACTGGGCGCGTGACAGAGCGCGATGATGTCACCGATGTCCAGTCGTCTCTCAGCGTTGTCGTATCCGTGCGTGTGTTGCGCGTTGGTGTGTGTGTAGCGAGACGCTACAGGGGTACGGGCGATTCCCCGTACCAAAAAGTTGTGAGGTATTTTTCTAATCACCTATGCGGGCATCATACGTGTGGTCCTTCACAAACTTTGGTCGCCCTGAATGGAACCTCTCCACCCGAATAAAGTACGAAGGTGATCAACCAGAGGAACCAAAAAAAATTCCAGACGGGCGCCAGTTCTTTTAACCTTCAAAGGACAAGGTCACGATGTCGAAGCGCATTCCACGATCAGCTCACAAAACCGTGGAGGCGTGTGGAAACGGGGAAGAAAATGATACACTCAACACCGTGTAAAATGAATGTATTCTAACAAAAAAAAATTAAAGGGGTAAATTCCCTGACTCGATATAAAAAAAAACATATTAAACCTAAATAATAATCATAGAAAACGGTAGTGATAATTGCAAATTCATAAACTCCGACTACCGGAGAGAGCTAACGAAACTCGATTTAATCTTCAATAAATCTTGGTAATTATTAACCAAAGAATTCAATGGCGTGGATAATGCACGGACATGAGGATCACCTGAACGCGACGACAACGTGAGAGCCACGCGGAGAAAAAAAATACAGTTCCAAAAAGAATCACAATGAAAAGAAATGAAACACTGATGTTCAGTAAATAAGACAATTAATTAGGTGTAAGGCCACTGAGTGCCGCGTCTCACAGTACGACTACTTAGTACTCAAACGGTGCCCAAATGGCGACAGGAGGCTATACGTTACAAAGCCACGTGAGCACTCGCAAACAAAATTACGCTCACCGTTGGCAGTGATTTCGGACGATGACCGGAAAAATCCAGGCACAATACCCCAAAGACTAATTACTTGAATTTTCTAACGCGCTCGAAGAGGGAATCGACTTAATTGCGAGCGACTTTACATGCTGAAATCCCAGCGAAGAGTGATTCCACGGGCAATACATCGCCCCGAGGAACCTCAATTTCTCTCCTACCCCCACTCTAATTTACCGATGTCGCGCGGAGAATTCATGTTCTAATCGTGCAGTTGCACTGGCCATAATTCCTAATTTAATGGTCCCAACGACTTGGGACTTGCGCCTCGCAATCGGTGAACTGTTCCGCATTCAACGGCGGCGGGGCCAACATGATCCGGTGCTCCCTCGATGCTACAGCCTGAGTTTTTTATGTGGTGGTCGCAAAGCTGACGCGTAACTCCCGGTGAGCGCGACAGCGTTAGAATTGAGCGATAAAATAAACAAAAATAAAATCAATACGAGAACTAATTGTGAAAATGTGGCCTTGGGTGATCCGACTCCTCGCTAGGGTAATTTCCTAATTCCCCCCCCCCCCCCGCCTTCTAATCCGCGGCCAGTCCAGGCGAGGAACAGTACATGATCTCTGTCATGTTACAATATATATAATCCTCTATAAAAAAATTGGTGGAACGTTTTCTGTCACCGATCTATTTCGCCTAGGCATGGTATGTTTATGAAATGAGAATGCTTATTTTATCTTAGCTTATCTTATTTTTTTTTTCATCTTATTCAATTTTTTTTTCTATTAAGGAATAAGAATATAATATTTCGTAATATTTAAAATTTATATATTTTATAATTTTTATAATTTTTTATATATTGTGACGAGGCGATTCTTTTATTTTTATTTGTTTTTCTTTCATACATCTTTGCCCAACTACACACTGCCCCCTAAATAATAAAATCCCGCCACCGTTGGATACCCCTTCCCTCGATTTTCCCCTCATCGCCCCTCTACTCACGCCTCTGGACATCACGAAGACCTCAGCCGAAGGAAGACAACAGTTCCGGCCCTACTGGGTCAATTGAAGNCCCCCCCCCCAAAACCACCCATACATAGGCCTAGACAACCCACCGCCCTCGATGATCCCCATCGACACATCCCTGGATGATGATCCTGGGCACCATTTAACCACTACGATTGGCCCCGATCATCCAAGAAGATGACCCAAAGAATCTCGATTACTCGCGAATCCTCACGAACGAGACGAAGGAGAAGATGGAAGAGAGAAGAAGCGGCACTCGTGCAACCGCTGTCCCGGACACTGCCACATGCGCCCCAAGTTAGTCGACGAGAAAGTGAAAATACCCCGACGTCTGAACATTGGACCGTTGTGTTGGAGAAAAGAGGAATTTTAGTGCCCGAGCTCATCCCGGTTCTAGTTACTGTGCCCCTGGAGTCAGAGAGGAGGAACGAAGGCTCCATCTCAGGAATTGCGGAAGGACCTGGATTAGTTTTTGGAAGTCCAGACCACACCTGGAAGTCGTGAGTACGAGTTGTCCCCCTCATTCCCCCCTCGCCTCAAGCAATATTTCTTTCCATTCCCCCCAACGGTGAACCTACACTCTCTTGTTTCTTCCCCTTTAGTTATTATTTGGATATTTAGTTGCATTCCCTCGACATGACTAGCTTCTCCCCTTTTATCTGCATTAGAGTCATCTCCTTTTTACGTGTACAAAAGTTGCCTGGCCTCCCCCACTCCCCTAGATCTCAAGTAAAGGCCTTTTTGATGTCTTCTGACGATCTATTAATTGTAAAGTTCAGAGAATATATTTCATGCTTTATACTTAACCCCTTATTTTTCAATTACCCTCTCATCATTTCAGGTATTAATTTAACTGAAATTAGGAAAAGGTCACAATATATATTTTTTAATTTTAATTTTATTTTATATTAAGAAATAATAATTATAATAATTATAACAAGTAGGTGACTGCGGCATGCGACTGCATTTTTTTATTGTTAGGAGTTTGTTCGTCCTTATTTTGTCATCAATACATTGATGGTAGGCTTCCGAATGGTCTTGAGTTGGTTATTCGATTGGTACTTAGAGTTTTTTTTTTGTAGCTACTCGTTCAAAATCTATTACCCATGCCAAATTTGGGGTTAATATCTCGATTTTTTCGAAAGTTAGAGTACGTACAAGGATTTCAAGTGAAAAATATGAATACCGAAATATCATGAAAACTTTGTATGAAACGGTATACATATTTCAAATGATCAAGATAGAAGATATCCAGACGAACATTTTGAAAAAAAAATTATTAAAATCGGTTTAATACTATTTGAGATATTGCATAAAATAGATTTACATACAAAATTGAATATCTCAGGAACTAATCATCCGATTCAGCTCATGTTCAATACCAAACATTGCAATGATAAGAGATAACTTCATGTCAAATTTCAAGTTGATACCTCGAGTTTTGCGATTATATTATTATTATATAAAATTAGGAGCCGGTTACCCCAAGCCCTGTATTTTTAAACCCTAGAACAAACCCCAGGATTTTCCCGTGATTTATTATGAGAAATATGTTAAAATATAAATCAAAACTTTGATAGTAAGATTTTGGGCCGGTTGCATGTAGCCATTTAAGCTATTTAAATCCTAGGATTCAATTTTCCATTGAAGCATGATTCTGGAGGTCATGAAATGTGAATTTAAAGTCATCCATTTCGAATTGAAATTGATGTGTGAAACATCAATGTTCAACCGTATGAAGTGTGAGCATTTACTTCGGTAGTCTTATTTTGTAACCATCACTTTTTTCCATTTTCATTAGTTTTGACAACTCCTTTTGGATTTTAATAATTTGTGATCTTCGACAGTGATTAGCGTTTGATTTAAATCATACAATATGAGTCAATACGAGGAGGACAATTCATCTGAAATTGGTGAGAAATTCGTTTTGCAAATTTTTCTATGAGTTCTTGGGACTTTTAATAAACTAGGGTTACAATATGATATATATAGATGAGCCATCATTGGAGACTCCCGAAATTTCCATTACTGATGGACAACCAGACCCTCAGGAAATTTCCCCTGGAGATGGGCCCCATATTCCCAGTCTCCAATCACCAGATCCTGATTCACCAGAATATGAATTTACATCAACAGTGAATTTTGAAAGAATTAAAGTCAATGATCCCCTCGTACAAAGGGATTTTTTTCGTTAGTAATTAATCTAGATGATTCATTTAATGTTTATATTTTTAGAAAATCAGCTTTCTGGTTCCTTTTCTGCTTTTTCTTGGATATTTCAAGTTTTTTAGATTTTTTGTTGTGTTTTTAAAATAACACGACAATCTTTTATTCACCATTTCATTTAATTCA